TCTTACCCCGTCTCTAATGTCGCCATGTCCGTAATTAAGGACTTTAATTACGTCGAGAGGCCAGGCGCGAGGTCAGGCAATCTATCCTAACCTCATTTCCTCTTCGTACAAGAAAGGAATTGAAAATGGCGGGAAATTTGAGAATGGCGGGAAATTTGAAAATGGCGGGAAATTTGGCCGGTCAAAATCGCTTTGGAAAATGTGAATGTGGCTAAACAAGTGCGAGGAAATATGTGATGATAAAAAAGAAAGAAAAAAAAAAGACACGTGGAAGGAAAAAAAGAGGAAATAAAGAATGAAAATGAAAGAGAAAAGAAAGAAAAATAAGGATAATTTAAAGAAAGAAAGAAAAGAGATAAGCGAGAAAGAAAAGCGAAAGAAAAAAGAAAGAAAAGAATGAGCCAGAAACAAAAATAAATAATAAACCAGAAACAAAAGAAAGAAGAAAGAAAAATAAGAATAAACGAAAGAGAAAGAGAAAAAAAAAGCGACAGAAAAAAAAAAAATAAAAAAAAGTGAAGATCGCCGAGGATACGGGTTTTTCCGTCAGCCTGTCTGTCAAAACAAAAGAAGAGCGAGTGACAGTTTCGAACACTCTTCGTCGCCTCCTAACCTGTGGCTCGGAATACCTTTTCATGGCACGTCCAGGCTGTTTGCGCTGTCCTCACTGATGTGCGTGTGTGTCTGCACGCATGCACGCACACTCGCGGTTGACGTGCTGGTACGGCGTGGTGTGTCAGTGTGCGCGTCATGTGTTTGTGTGTGTGTGTTGCGAGAGGAGAGGGGAGGGGAGGGAAGAGAGGGTAGGGGGGAGGGGGGGGAGAGGGAGAGAGAGGGGGGGAGGGAGGGGAGGAGGGAGAGGGGGAGGGGGTGAGGGGGGAGGAGAGAGGGAGGGTGGGAGAGGGAGGGGGAGGGGAGGGGAAAAGGGAGGGAGGCGGTAAGGAGGGAGGGAGAGGGAGCGTGAGGGAGGGGGAGAGGGAGGGATGGGAGGCGGGAAGGCTGGGGGGGGGGAGGGAGATGGAGGGAAGGGAGAGAGGGGAGGGGGAGTTGGGAGAGGAGAGGGAGAGGGGAGGGGGAGAGGGGGGAAGAGAGGGGGAGGAGGGAGGGAGGGAGGAGGGAAGGGAGGGAGAGATGGGAGATGGGAGAGGGAGGGGAGGAGGGGAGATGGATGGGGAAGGGGAGGGGGGGAAACGGGGAGAGGGAGGGAGGATGAGGGAGAGGGAGAGAGAGAGAGAGGTGTTTGTGTATGTGTTGTGTGTGTGTTTGTGTGGGCGTGTGTGTAAGTGTACGACTAGTCAGGTAGACCCACCAACAGAATGGGCCGAGGTAAGATGATAGATAGATAGATAGAGAGAGGTGAGTGCTGGGTGATGGAGAGAGAGAGAGAGGCAGAGATAGAGGGAAGAAAGATAAAATGCGGAAGAAGAGAAGAAAAAGAAGAGAAGAGAGAAAGAAAAAAAAAGAGAGGAGCACACCCCCGAAGAAAGAGAGAAAAGAAGAAAGAAAAATAGAGAAAAGAGAAAGAGAAAGATCCACGGAGAAACACACGAAGATTTATTTAAACTATATAGTAATCATTATTCTTCAAGAGCTAAATACCCGCCACGTCACACAGGAACACTAAGTCTTCATGCAAGCCATACAATTTATCATAGGACATGTCTGCCTCGTGACGGATGAGGTCCAGTCATGCAACAGACCTCGTGGCAGGTTTAATTTTTGAACTTTTTTTTTTTTTTACTTTTCTTTTAGCTTTTTGTCTCTTTTTTTCTCTTTTTTATTGCTATTATTGTTTATGTTGTTATTATTATTATTATTATTTTATGTTATATTATTATTTGATTTTTATTGTAATTATTATTATTATATTATTATTATTGTTTATTTAATATTATTATTATTATTATTATTGTATTATTATATTATTATTATTATTATTATTATCATTATTATTATTATTATTAATTATTATTATTATTATTATTATTTTTATTATTATTGTTATTATTATATTATTATTATTATTATTATTATTATTATTATATTTATTATTATATTATGTTATTATTATTATTGTTATTATTTACTTCTAGTTTTCTGTTCAGAAATAATTCGTAAGGACTTTTAGAGATGCACACGTGGAAACAGTACTTGTGCCAAGGGTACATACCCTGCTTTTTGTTGTTGTTGTTGGTGTTGTAGACGGTGTTTGTACACGAGGATGTGCTTAGAAACTCTGTACAGACGGCTGGTTTGGGGATGTATAAAAGTACTTTACATGTGTACATTTATTATCTCTAGCTCAGAATGCGTTCCGTGTGCGTGGGATAATGCGTACATGCATACGCTCACGTCATGTGGACAACGAGTACTTTGCAATAGACATATTTTAGCAAGTGGATCGCTTAATTGAAAAATGTACTTAATCACAAATAATGTGTTGAAGGTATTAAACCCGCAAGTGGATCCGACAGACAGGTATTCTACTCATGTCAGAAAA